ACGTTTTCCGAAAGTCTCGCGACATCCCTCGTGCATGGATCACGCAATCCTGCACGGAAAACCATTCGGTATTCCTTTAGTATACAGCTATTTCAATTAAGGTTGTCCCGGGCAAAGCGGAAAAGTCGAATATGAGCGCGAAAGGCTTACTGGGAATCGCTAATAAATTAATGAACTCTTTAGCGATTCCCAGCGAGCATTTCGCGCTCGTATTCGACTTTTCCGCTTTGCTGGGGACAACCTTACAGTATAAGCACTTGTCTAATTAAAATTATCCGCAATTAGCATTATAACATTGCTCTGCTCTGAGCAGTGCTCTTAATGGGATTAATATTGTTGAAAGAAAAAACGACACAGTGGCATATTGTCTGAACAAATTTATTCTGCACACATATTTCTTAGATAATGAACTCATATGGAATAGGTTCAAGAAGTTCAGGATCCTTTCCTCGGTTCTTCACAAAATGTGCTTCCCTTGGTGCCACAGGCTAAATTAGAAAACAATTCAAATTAGATGAGCATACAGTAATTTTACCCATCCACTCCGGCATTCAAGACATGAAATAGGGACCTCAATATTGGGTACTTCATCTCAGATATCTTGCGTCAAGTTTCCAGGAAGGGATGTTTACGGAGGCAGGAAAATATTGGAACCTTGGAAAACAGTTCTCTGCACCAAAGTCAAAGCTTGCAACTTATAGTATAAAAAAGGTGTATCAGGAGAACTCATTGGCCAAGTTACTTGGCAGTAAAATAATAAACATTGTCCCGTTAAGGCGGAAAGGAGCATGGCATAAAACGTCGAAACAGGATTTCACCTTGGCGGGACACAATAATTAGATGTTAGAGTTAAATATACATGTCATGATGTCAAAATCTTGATCATTGTCCCATCCCTGTAGAAACAAGCCCTTGGGTCTCTGTGGCCAGTCAAAACCTTGTAAAGATTAAAAAATAAATTGAAAAATTAGCAAAAAGTACCTGACGTTTCAGATTAACTTTTATCCCTTTTTCTTGGGCCTCCTTTTTCTTCATGTCATTTTCCTTAACTCGTCTACGTTATTTCAAATAATAATTAAATCATTGTAAAAATCAATAGAACAGACAACAATGGTATGTAGAAGTGAAATTATAAGAAAAATAGTCACCTCAAGAAATCATCTCTACATTTTGAATGTCTAACATGTTCAATTCTCACATTGATTCGCTTTGCAAAGATTCTGCCTCTTAATAAACATAAAGAATAGAGTTAATTAGTAACACAAGTGAATATTGCACAAGTAAATATAACAAATCCTACAAGTTGATTGGTCAAATTTGACGTATTAAGGTGAATATAACATGTAGGTGAATATAACAAAACCGAAATTTGCAAAATGCGGCTTATAGCCGTTTTTGTGGAAGTTACTGATAAAGAAATAAGCGAAATTAAAATAAATTCAGTCCCAAAAAACACAAAAGACTTGTGTAAAAATACTAAAACAATTCTTCGCTCCATATTCCCCGATAATCACTGAGCCTGAGGCGAATCTACAATTATAATTGTTAAATATAAAAGTACAGTATGTTGTTAGTAGGTCCTCATATCAGGGAGCAAATTAATGGCCTACAAATAACAAATCATAATACAAAAAAAGCATTTTTGTAGGTAAAAAAACTGGCAGACAATTTCACAGAGAAATTTGTAGGTCAACTGATAATTAATGCATCAGTTCAAAACTAAAACAACATACCCAATCACTATAAATTATCAGCAGCAAATCACACAAAGGAATATTAGAAACAATTTGTAGGTCAACTTTGAAATTTGCAGGTCAAAACTAACAGGGCTCGAAATAACGGCCGATCAACGATCAATGATCGGCAGGAAATTGTTTTTGATCGGCGAAGAAGCAACGTTGCCGTTCATCTTGATCGGCAAGAAATATATTTGACTTTTGTCTGAAAGGCATGTAAAAGGCATGTTGCCTGTACGCGGTAAAAGACAAATAAAAGTAATATAAAACACATTCAAAAACACGCGAAAAACTCTTGTTTTAGTTCATACGAGTCATACGACAGGAAAGGCCGCAAGACTGTTCTCGCTCTAAAGTAATTTAGGGACCGGTCATTATTTATGGCGGGGGGTGGCACCGAAGAGAAAAGGGTTGGGTAAACTAAATTTTGAGTAAGTAAAAGGTTGGGTAAATGAAAAACAAAACAACTCGAGGGTTGGGTAATAAAAAATTATTGT